ACAAATTGTTTTGTTAATTAAATAATGACAAAACATAAAAAGGATTTCGCATTTTCTCATTTATCGTTCACACACACACACACACACAGAGAAAGGGTTCAAGTGGCATCGAACCCAATTGGCAGAAAGACAGACACTCAAGGTGTGGGCAATGGCAATGCAAAGGTGAATAAGTGATTGCATTCAGTGTTCGAAAGGCAAGAAAAAATACTTTTAAAATTTTACAAATCACTTAAGAAATTTAATTTTATTTTAAGATTTAATTTAAATTTAATTTAAGATTTAATTTCAATTTAATTTAAGATTTTTCATTTAATTAAATTTAATTGTGGAAAATAAATAAAATAAATAAACAATAAAAAATAAATAGATAATAAAAAATAAATAATTAATAAAAATAAATAATTAATAAAAATAAATAAATAATAAAAATAAATAAATAATAATAAATAAAATAAAATCAATTGTCCTGCCTTTGCTCTTTTTATTTTGAAGTAACATCTTCATAATGTTTTCATTAAATATCCCTAGACTCTCCTTAAAATCTAAGCCACCATAACAACCCTTTTGGCCGTGCATTCCGAGTGACCAAATGGGACAGACTTTACCCCCTCGCCAACATTGAGAAATTAAAAATTCCGAACCAATAAACTGCACTACCAAAACAGTCAGCTGACTCTTTCCGGAGACCCCAATTCCGTACGAGTATTTTTCCTTTTGCTGGCAATGGCAAATTTTATGGCAGCTGCAGTGCAAATATGCAGAGGAAGGAGGCGGTGCCCCCAAAAAATCGTAACCGTTCGTCCCGCTGTTGCGCGGGTCATTAGAGACACGCCGCCGCCATGACGTTGCATGGCTTTGCACGACTTTCCACGAGCCACTCATAAAATGCAAACAGTCAGGCAGACACCGAACGATGTCAAGTCAGGCAGTCAGAAAAGGCAAAACTGCGAAATGCAAACCACAATTGATGGCCCAGCAAAATGCGTGAGGATAAAGAGACAAAGGGCGAAGCCAAACAAACAAACAAAAACTTTCAGTTTTGCTGCAGCTTAAGCGGAAAATGTACCGCGGTTTAAGTGAAAAAATTAAGGAATGCTATGGACTTGATTTGGGTATTAATTGATTTTATTTGGAAGAGGTTAAGCGCTTGAATATGCCTAAGAGATTGAATGGTGAAAGGGTATGCCAAAAGCAGTCACTGCTGCCACCCCTGACTATGCAGCGCTTTTCTGTAGAGTTCCAGGGCATTATTGCAGTATGACATGCTCTGATATTTTGCAATCATAATCTGCTATTGCATTACTTAAAGAAGAAAGTCATATATGCATATGCCCTGACATTACATTGCTTCAAATAATTCCCGCACTTCAATGTTTGTTTCTCAGAGCGAAAATTATAAATCCATTATATGAAACTGTACTTTTCGCACACACACACACAAAACGCACATACAATGAGCAAAAAAACAACACAAAAAAAAAACACAAGAGAACGCATTAAATTTTAGAGGCGTATGCGCGTGTGGCCATAAAAACCAAATGGCGAACGAAAGCAAAGCAAAGCCAAGGAATGGAATGGAATGAAAGAAGGAAGTGAGAAATAAAGTGAACAGCCAAAATTACAAAAAAAAAAAAACAAAATGGATAGCAATTGAAGCATTTTCAAGGCAGAGAGACAGGCATTCTATTTTGCATTGGAATATGGAAAATTTTGCACCCAAAAAAATATGCAACAAAAAAAAAGGCAGAGAAAATGACCTTTTCATTGAATACTTTTTGATTTGCAAATTCTCTACGCTGTTTGCGTGAAGAGCGTGCCACCAGAGCGCAAGAGAGTCACTCAATTAGCGTAATCGAGAGGTAAATCTCCAAAGCAAATGCCCGCCAAACAGAATCATTTTCAATTAACACTCAGCCTGTGGCGCAATTTATGAGATTTATCCACCAATATATATAGTTTTGAGGGGAAAAACTTTGTTTTATGTGCTTCGTGGCTTTGGCAGAGAGTCCGCAAATAAACATTTGGGTAATCACAGCTCACAGTTTTGTCCCATTGCCATGTTATGCAAAAGTTGTAAACGACAACGACAAGGACTCAGTGTCCTAGTCCTAGTCCTAGTCGTAGTCCAAGCTTCTGAAAATCCTGTTTTATGTCTGGTGTGGCCACCGCCACCAGCAACTCTGGTGCTCTGATGCTCTGGAAAAAGTTGCCGCAGTAATAAAGGAGATTACCTTACACATAACATGTGAGTGGCGAGCCGAGACCGGGACAGGAGACCCTCTGGAGTAAAAGATTTTTGCTGGGGAAGAGACACGGCTAAAATGATTTCTGGTTTAGCCACAAAAGCCAAAAGGAGCCTTTGAGGCGGTCGACATGGACACATGGACCTGCCCTGTCCGCTGCAGCCTCTGGGCGCCGTCCCCCCAAAAATAAGTTAGGGCTAAACTGCAGCAGCAGCAGCAGCAGCAGCAGCAGCAGCAGCAGGGAAATGCAGTCAAATGTGCCGAAAAATTGCTAAAAACCGAAAAACTTTCTGATTTTACGGATGAACATTAGCCCCCAAAAAGAGAGCGAGGGGTGGGTGGGGGTGGAGAGGTTGCTGATCCGGGGCCAAAGTTTCAAACATTACAATAGAATTAATAAAATGAAATGAACTTTAAAACTTGCATTTAAATGTGTTAAAATTATGCAAATTTTGTTTTTGTTTTAAAAGCCTTGAAAGGGAAGGGGTTAAAGGAAATGGCCATGGAAATACTATAAAGAATAGATGCGGCCCAAGCGACACCGCGAGATATATGCATGTTGAGCTCCTATGGCAGGTAAACTTCACCGAAATATTCCCCAAAAATATCTGTATAAAAAAAAAAAGCAATAATCATTAAGCCAGCAGCTTGTGCTCTGGCATGTTCCTCAAGCACTTGGGCCAAGAATTCGCCTGAACAGGTAACACAAAAACAAAAAATTTCATTTTGCACATTGAAAATTCCTTCAACTCTTCTTGAACTTAAATTGTGAGATTCATTTGCTCATCTTGGTCGGGGGGGCTGCTCTCTGTGGGCAATGGCCAAGTTGCACTTACACTTTTCTCATTACGCACACACAGGCACACACACACACACAGATACTGTGGACTATGTGGCACACTTGGGCCCATTGTTCCTTATTTTTTGGGGGGCAAAAGTAGCAGCAGCAGCACTTGGATGTGGAACCAGCAGCAGCAGCTATGGAAAACAACACAAATTGTTATGATAAAAGTTTTTATCAAGTTTTCGTTTCGTTTTTGTGTGTCGTGTCGTCATCGTCTTGGACTTGGTCTTGCTCTTGGTCTTGCTCTTGGTCTTGCCTCTTCGTCTGGGCTCTGGCTCTCACTCTAGCTATGCCGTTGATTTTTCCTATAGAAGATAAGGGAAAACTGGGGCCAGAAGCTGGCAGCGTCAAGGGGTGTCTTGTCTCACTCTGGACCACTGGAAAATGCATAAAACAATGCCTTCGGGCGACCAAGGCTGGATGGGTGGGGTGATTTTGTGTCTCATAAAATTTTAACTACTTGCCAAAATACTGCTAACTGGTAAAACTTTAAGCCAAAAATCATTAAGTCTGCAGAAGAATTGTGTGTTTCGGTGGGGCCGTAGAGCTGTGGCTTCACTCGCTAGATGAGTGTGTGTGTGTGTTTCCTGGGGGGCGGGAGGGTAGCTGGGGGGCAGCGCGTGTGTTGTTGGGGTTTTGTGCATCTTGCGGCCAAGAAGTTGTTGGCTTGTTTTATGCTGCAAAATTGGTTGCATGGCCATTTTGCGGTGTGGGCTGCAAGCGCTCTCCACTTCCACTTCCTCTTCCTCTACTTCTTTTTTGTTCTTCTTGGTCTTTGTCATTATGACTGGACCTTGGGGACAATATCCTTTGGCTGGACGCAGTTTCGCAGTGTCCCACCAAATGTACGTAGGGTCCCTCCTTCTCGCTCTTCTCTCTCTCTCTCTCTCTCTCTCTGTGTCGCTTTGCTGGCTGGCACACAACTTTTTAATTGCAATTAAAAACTAAGCAAAAGTCTTGGCCAAGAAAATCTTAAACATTTTCACAGTCTTTCTCTCTCTCCCTCTCTCTCTCTGGCTTTTTGGCTGTTGTGTCCTGCTGCTGCTGCTGTTGCTCCTGTTGGTCCGAAATTAAATGACTGTCGTGCAGTAGTAGACCGACGACAAAAACTTACAGATTGCACATTTTTAGTTTACCTCAGTGTAAAATATATTGCAAGCCACAGCAAAAGTTGACCACGTCAACGGTTAACAGCTCAGGTGGAAGTTGTTAAGCAAAAAGGAGTGGAGAAACCTCTGAGCACAACTGAGATGTAATGAGTTGGGGAAAATAATGCCATGGAGATGGCATGAATATATGAAGCAATGCATGGATACCGCTGCACCTTTAAGTGACGCTTTGCTCATGTTTTTACTTGCTAATTTTTCCTGCACTTTTCTCATTCCTCACTTGATTTGCACCAGCAAGCCCCTTAATGGGACATTGCTACAAAAAATCCCTTGCCATAGACTTAAACCATTCAGCCAAAAGATCATTTATCAAAGACACGCACCTGCCAGCCAATTCACAAGCCAACATGTTCACTAAGCACACACACAATGGCTCTCAAACTGGGTCAAATAAAGCTTTCACCTATATATGCCACCGCTTTACCGATCCAAGCGAGATGGCTTGAAGCGGACGACAGTGTTGGATCGATCCGTTGCTGGTTGCCTGTGAAGTGAAGTCAAGTTCACAATAAAACCATTAAAACCTTGCCCTGTCCCATTCAGTTGGCTGCTAGCACTCGGCTCGTGTGTGTGTTGGCTTCTTCTTGGCAGCAGAGATCCAGCGATTCAGCGATCACTGCGCGGCAAAACAATACGCGCCAACCGATTTTTTGGGGCTAACGCAATAATAATAACGGGTTTTTCGTGGAAGTTTCTGCCAAAAAAAAAAAAAAACCGAAAACAAAAGTGATTTTCCCCCAAAAACAAAAAACTCGTGTGCCCAAACAATTGAATTTCAAGAAGCAAATTAAAATTAAAATAAAATAAAATAAAATACAACAAATTGCTGCATTTTTTGTTTAACATTTGAAATAAAAAGAAATAGCCTTGGTGCCTTGGGGCCTGGAGATCTGGACAAGAGTTTCAATTGAACAACAGAAAATACCAAGCTAAAGTGCCGGTTCAAAGCGGTTAAAACCCGCCAGTTACTTTACATTTGAACAACAACTTTAACCACCAGCACAGCTGCAAGAGCAACAGCAACAAACAGTCAGACAGACAGACAGACAGACAGACACACAACAGAGAAACAAACAGCAAAAACTCCAACAACAACAACTGTAAATAAGCATAAAATTAATTGTCGCCCAAGTGAAGTGAACCGAAGACTGAAGTGAACGTGCAAGAAGAAGAATAAGGAAAAAAAACCCACTGAAACAGAAGAAGAAACAGGTAAATCACCAATAAATCCATTCAAGGAAGTGTTGCTACGGATCATGCAAATTATACAGTGCGCAGCAAAACTGTAAGGGTATCCGAACTATAAACAAAGATCAACAGAAAGTATTGAATTTATAGAGGGATTGCCTAAGTATTAGAAATAATCCCCATTAATAAAAACGTAAAATGGCTAATATTTAAATTAAATACCGCAACAAGTTTTAAAAGTTTTTCAAACATGAAGGGGACATCATTGGTTAATCCAAACCAAAATTTATAAACGGTTTAAGTATAGCGTATAAACATACAAATGAGTCAAAGAGGTACTTACCGAAGTGCCTAAATTAAGAAACAATTGAAATCACAGAACAACTATTTTTAAGTTCACTTAAAACATTCGAAAAGAAAAACCTTTTAAAATTCTCTCAATAGTTTTCCATTAATTTAAGTTTAGTTGGTCAAATGTATGCCCAAAAAAAATCCTACCCTATGTTAGGGCATTCCAACATTCGCATTTCATAAAATTCCATACAAATGGAACTTTTTGGTATCCCCCCACCAACCGATGCTCTTTCAAACGATGACGTATACGCAGTGTAGACACAAAAACTCATAAATATATGCATATAAATCTGTATAGATATATGTATTTATTTTTGTGATTCGTCTAACGCTTCGATCGTTACCGTCTATTTGTTTTGGCAGCCAGCAGCGCAACAAGCTGGTCATATTTAAAAAACACGTTTTTGCATACTAATGCGCCGCCTCTGACGGTAGTCGCTGTCGGTAGTTTCGATTCAAGTGTTTGTTGACTCTGAGCGAAGGTAAAGTTTGCATGGACTTTTCATGCTACCATTCATTTGAATATGCAAGTATTTGTTAAAGCAGACAAAGCATTAAATAAATGCACAGAACTTTTAAAATAAATACATGTATCAAAGATATTAATATCAGGAAGAAAGGTAATTATTTAAAAGGAACAACCCTTTGGAAAGAATAAAAGCTGGTATCAAGTTACAGAAGAATTTCCCCTAATATTTAATAACCTAATTTTATAGCCCAAAACGATTTTTAAACAATTTTTGTAGCGTTCGTAAAAGTTATCTATTGATTTTAAGGTAGCAAAATATCGGCTACAAAATCTGCAGAAATTAGAGAAATTATTTTACAAATTTAAACAAAAAACAATAAAGTTGATTTTTGTTGTTGTAGAACTCCATTTAGTTGCGTGTCTTCTTTATACTTCTAGACCCTTCTTTTCTGACACAAAACAAAGCCGATCGTACATTAAAAACCAGTTAAAACTGCTCTTAACTCACCTGAACCAGCTGCTTGACATTCATGACGTCACTTGAGACATTCTCTTAATTCTCCAGTTATACTCCTCCAACTCCAAGAACTCTCGACAAAATTATAAGAAGAATAGATCTTGTCTCTGGACTGAGTCATCTCATCCTCAAATAGGCTGGGGAGGGGGAAACTTTTTTTGTAGAACACTTTTAACGAGCAACGAGAAAACCAGTTTTATTCTGAAAATAAATGAAATAAAACAAAATAATGAAAATAATTTAAAGCGGATTTAGACGTCAATTTGTTCGGGGATTTTTTTTTTTTGTATGTGTTTGCCACAATTTGCGTGCGGTGAATAATTTTACAACAATTTCATGTGAATATTTAATGAATCAGAATTGAAGATGAGTTTTAATAGCTGTCAAAAAAAAATGCCTTTACGTGACATTTTTGGGTACTCTCTTTCAATTGGAAGCCGACTAAGTCTGTGCATTTCTCAACTTTCTTTATTTTGTGCGATAAGATTTATCACTGATGAGATACGATTTTTAATTAGGATTGTAACCGTTCTGTTATCTACATTTTTGCACATCAATCTGTCAACCAACTGCATTTAAAACTCAAGACATACGAATATAACCAGCGAGACAATCTGTTGCAGCATTCGTCATTAGATTTTGTGTTCATAAAAATTTTACGATTATTATAGAGCGTAGAGGAGTGTGGCGTAGAATAAAAAGAACTTAAAATCATTAAAAAAGGTGTTACCCTTTTATATTTTCATCTGACAAACCACTTTAAACCTCTGTTGTAATTATCAAAGATTGTGTTACATTTTCTCAGAATTAATAGAATAGTTTTCAAGTTGTTAGCACATAAATAAAGATATTTAATTGGAATTATTCCCACAACATGTAAACAAGTAGTGAAATATCCCCCGCCAATTCCCAACCAATTTATGCATTCCATCAGTCCACTATTCTGTGTGACTCACAGAGTAGTAGAAAATTAATTGGACAAACCCTCATAAATATTTTCGATCGCGAAATGTGCATACTTCTCCGTAAAATCAATAATTGCGAATTAATATAAACGAAACGTGTCAATATTTCGCGTTAATTGTCAACCGGCTGCACAGTCAAAGCGAACATTTTGGGTACACAAATGGCAGATAATATATCTCCGATTTTTATTACTTCAGCCAATTAACAACTCTCAGGCTAGTAAATCAAACAAGCTGCAAAGTGACTAAATAAAGCAATAAATTGTAGCTCTATTTAAGGTTTTAGGCGGTTTCCTTTGGTAAAATGTTTGCTGAAGAAATTAAATCTTTAGTATACGAATTTTTACAGTCTTAATAATTGTTTTATGTGCATGCTATCTGCTCTTAATTTGTTGCAATTTTTCTATGGCTTGACAACAGATACTCGTGCAACAAATCTGTCTAAAAGTCTATATAAACCTCGCTCAACACACATAGAAAATGTAATCAGCAGTCACTAAAGAATTATCTGAATTTCCTTCACCAAGTTATAGCCACGCAGATATCTAATACATAAACGCCTTGGCAAGTACCTATTTCGAGTTAAAAATCTCTTGCATTATCTATGCCAGACGGACAATAAATTGCAGTATCTAAAGGGCCAATACACGTCTGTCACTCTCTCTCTCTCTCTCTCTGTATATGTGTCTAACCATTCGCCTAACCTTATCTGTAGCTCGTGACAGTGACATCATTTCTTATCTTTAAGATCATTTGGGGTTTATCTGATTGTCACTTATACAGCTTCATGCATCTACTCTCAACTGAGTGAAAAAAATCATATCACAATAGAAATTCCCATTCAGTTGTACTTGAAAATTCGCAGCTAATAGAACGGTTTTGACTGTATTTGGCAGGAAAATATGGATACATTGCAACAGAATCACCAGAATCCGGGCTTTGTGGGCGACGATGGACGCAGCACAGCGAGCACTGTGGTGATATCGGTAAGCGGTTTGGCCTACAATACCCCTGAAAATAACCTATGACCCAACTAATCATCGCTTTTCCGTAGTCCAACAGTCCGGGTACGGCTGCGGCTCGCGATAATGCCGACCACGAGGCAGGAGCAGCCAAATTGCCCGAGGAACGCGCCACCTGGGGCAAGGGCATGGAGTTCCTAATGTCCTGCATCGCCATGTCCGTGGGCCTCGGCAATGTCTGGCGATTCCCCTTCACCGCTCTGGACAATGGCGGCGGTGCCTTCCTCATACCATATCTCATTGTGCTGTTTCTGATTGGCAAACCGATTTACTATCTGGAAATGGTAATTGGTCAGTTTTCCAGTCGCGGTTCAGTAAAGGTTTTCGATTTGTGTCCGGCGATGAAAGGTAAGCGGTCGGTCTGTGAATGTTCACTTTTTGTTTGAGTTCGAGGTTGCTATGCTCTTGCGGGAACCATTATACAAAAATAAGTGATAACTGTCTATCGATAATTATCGATTGCAAGCGATTATTTCGGAGATTTATAGAATATATGCAGTTTAATAAGTAGATGGATTTATAAGGGAAAATATCAGTTATATTTTTTTTCGATATTTATCGATTTTTATCGATTTTTTGTTAATTTAGGTATAAAAAACCTGGGATTAAGTGAATATTTATATTTTATAGGATTCGAAAGATGTGTAGTATGCTTAGGAAAGTTACAGCGATATCTTTTGATCGATAATTATCGATTTAAATTAATTTCTAGAATTATTAATGAAAGAAAAACCATTTGACTTGTTCTAGAGCTATAGACCTAAAAGAAAATCATATTACCCCTCAAGCAAGAGCATAGCAACCAAAGAACAGAAGCTGAACTACGTGCATCATCATTTGTGCTCATCAACCCATCCTCGAAACCGCATCTCGTACTCGTATAGGTGTTGGAATTGGTCAGGTTGTGTCCATATCCATGGTGACCACCTACTATGTCGCCATAATGGGCATAACCCTGCGTTATTTGTACGAATCGTTTCGCTCGCCATTGCCCTGGTCCGAGTGCCGCTCCGAATGGCAGTCCGCCTGTGTCGCCTCCAGTCTGGGCAACACCTCCAAATTGGCCAATAACCGAATGGATATGGATATGCCTCAACAGCTACCGGTGGCATCCGCCGAGCTGTACTTTCTGTAAGTGGTTTGTATTGTCGTTTGCCGTTGTTGGTTGCTGTTTGCTGTTGTTGGTTGGTGTTCGGTCACGGTCTCGGTCTCGGGTTCGTTGTCATTATTGTTGGTGGTCCTTCTGCTGCTGATGTTGTTGTGTGTGTTGTGTTTTTGGGCATGTTTTCTGCTGCTCTGTGGGTGGGTGGGTGGCTGGCTGCATTGTGGGGTAATCTTATCGCGCGACACTGCTGTACTCTGGTGAAATCCCAGCAGCCAGACTCAACTCAAGTTTATGGTAGCATTCGTTCGCTTTATTGGCATGCGGCACTAATTGAATGGAGTACCATCCACGCAAATATGGCGCCTAAATTGCCATTAATTGAGGGCGGGATACTGGGGGATACTGGGGGATACTGCATACTGCAATCGGTCGATGCGATTGCAACAGCCACAAAACAGACAAAACATCATCAGAGGGTTCAGTGACAGTTGCTCCAATTGGCAAACATCATCAGCATCGTCCACAGTAGTGGAGGTTCTTCGAAGATTGAATTACTCAATCACTGTACACAGTATAGCCTTAGCCTTAACCTTGTTTCACGTTGGCAGAGTGATTGCTTGAGTTGAGTAAATGCAAGAAAGTATTCCATTATGTGCACCTATCTTAATGGTAATTGATTCAGTGATAAATCTTTCCCATTGACTAGTTCTTTGGCAGATCATTTTAAGAGGCTTGAATTATTTATTAATGGTTCTTTATAATTATAGTAGTAATTATACAGCCTTTCTTTATTTGTTTCTTTTTCATTGATGGCTCAGATTTATTATTTATTATTATTTATTTATTATTATTATTTATTATCTTATTTTGGAAGCCTTTTTCTATTCCTAAGGCCGATCAGAGTTTTAAGATCTTAATGCAGATTATTCATGCAAAACAATCTACTTGTTCGAGCTCTCATGTTTCTTTCCATTAAAAAGCAATAAATGAGAAAAGAAAATTTATTGTTTGATCCATCATCAGCCTAATCTTTGGCTCACTTTAGAAGCTCCATTTCTCAGGGTCTATTTTTCATAACAATGCACCAAAAGTAACTGACAAACTGACAACTGAATAACTAAAGATTTGTACCTAAAAATAGTTTTAAAAAATTGTTTAAACTAAAAACTTGTATGCTATAATTTTCTACCCTAACTATTTCCTTCCTGCTTTCTTTCCCTTATACTGCCATTGTCTTTAAACATTAACTAAAACATCCCGAAACGCATCTCTCTCTCTCTCTCTCTGTCTCATTTGATTTGTATCTTTAAAACTCTTTCTACTTTCTGTATCTGTTATCCGTAAGGTGTTGGAATCGGTCAGGCACTGCAGGTGTTTATGCTCAGCACATACTATGCCGCATTGGTATCGATAATTGGCCGATACTTTTATGAATCATTCCGCAATCCACTGCCCTGGGCCACATGCCACGAGGAGTGGGGCAGCAACTGCATTGATTCCGCCCCCGATGCACGTAATTGGCTACCAAAAGACACACAAGATGATGAACAAACAAATTACACAATTAATGAGGCAAATCAGCGGGTTCGCACCAGTTCGGAATGGTATTTTGTGTAAGTGGGAGGGGGTGATGGTTCCTATCCTATCCTAACAATTATTCAATTTTTGGTGTTGGTTTGTACTTAATGATTTTGCCTTTAATTTTGGTACACTTTCAATTGCATCTTTAGCAAGGAGGTGCTGCACGAGAAGCCCGACATTATCGATGGCATTGGCCTGCCCAACTGGGAGTTGGTTATTGGCTTATTCATCGCCTGGCTGTGCGTCTTCCTCATCATTCGGCGCGGCGTCAAGAGCTCCGGCAAGGCCTCCTACTTCCTGGCCATCTTCCCCTATGTGATCATGGGTATTCTGCTCATTCGTGCCGTTACTCTGCCGGGCGCCGCCGATGGCATTCTGTACTTCATCAAGCCGCAGTGGGGCAAGATCCTGGATCCGAAAGTGTGGTATGCCGCCGTCACGCAATGCTTTTACTCGCTCTCCGTGTGCTTTGGCAACATCATCATGTACTCGTCGTTCAACAAATTCGGCCATAATGTGCATCGGGATGCGGCGATTGTCACGGGCCTGGATACGATCACATCACTGCTGGCGGGTTTCACCATCTTCGGCATACTCGGCCACCTGGCCCACGAGATCGGCACCGATGACATTGGCACTGTGGTGAAGGGCGGCGCTGGCCTCGCCTTCATCTCGTATCCGGATGCCATTGCAAAGTTCAAACAGCTGCCGCAGATTTTCTCGGTGCTGTTCTTCCTGATGCTGTTCGTGCTGGGCATCGGCTCGAATATTGCCATGACATCCTGCTCGGTGACGGCCATCAGAGATCGTTTTCCACACTTTAAGCAATGGCAGTGTTCGCTGTTTATAGCCATCATTAGCTTTGCCATTGGCCTGATGTACATAACGCCGGTAAGATAATGCCAAATAGTTCATGGACTTAATTGAATAATTTAATTAATTTCTCTCTTTCTATGTTAGGGCGGACAATATATGCTGACGTTGGTGGACTTTTTTGGTGCCTCAATGATTGCTCTGGTGCTGGGCATTGCTGAGCTCTACACCATTGGCTGGATCTATGGCACTGATCGCCTGTGCAAGGACATTGAGTTCATGCTGGGCCGCAAAGTGGGCCTCTATTGGCGACTCTGCTGGAGCATAGTCACCCCACTGATTATGACCGTTATTCTGATCTACTTCTATGCCACCTATGAACCACTGACCTACAACGATCAAATTTATCCAAGCTGGGCGTACAGTAAGTGCCACGTCCCTTTCTCTTGACAGCTCCACTCAATGCTCGCATTTTCTTCACAGGCATTGGCTGGACCATCACTGCGTTTGGCATTCTGCAGCTGCCCGTTTGGATGATTGTGGCCATTGTCCGGTATCCGGGCCGTACTTTGGGTCAGAAAATCTCGGGCGCTTTCACACCAACGAAAGATTGGGGTCCCCGCGATCCCCTGCTGCGGGAACAGTATAACAAGGAGATTGAAAACGAACTGACACCGAAACGGGGTCAGGGCGTTTGGGCCGCCATTAAGCAGAATATTTTTGGCTAGCCAGCAGCTGGAGCGATACATATTCAGAGCGAGAGCGCTACGACTATTGTAAATAATTTTGTGTATGCCTGTATAATTTTTAAGTTGTGAAAAAGAATATATAAAAAGATCTTTGATAGCTCTTAAGTCTGCCAATAAAGTGAATAAGTGTGTAAAAATGTTGCTTTTGGTGTAAGGACTGATAAAGACAAAAGAGTATACGGATTCTAGCAAAGATTTGATGATCCCAAAAGTCAGAGAAGCTTTAATATTTGCTGCTTGAACTTAAAGCTCCGTAATAAAGCTTAAAGCATGTACAGTTTTTCAGTTATTATTTTATTATTTATTTAATTATTATTAATATTATATTTATTATTTATTATATATTTATTTTACAGTTCAAACAATCAATTAATCAATTTATGAATTAGGTCTCACGCACACTAATAAGCTGATAGCGCAGCTTAGCGCTCACCTACACACTAGCTGAAAGCGCAACTGAAAGCGGAGCCGAAAAAATGAAATGCACTGCACCAGTGCAAGTGAGCATTGCATTGCTGCTTAGCTGAGCTGAAAGCTCTCCCAATGATCAATGTGTTTGCGTTTATCAGCAAGCTGATTCAGCTCCGCTGTCAACTAGTGTGTGAGTGGCGCTAAAAAGCTTCATCGCAAGTTAAACACTGATCTGATGGCAATACATATGTCTGAATATTGATATATTATCTGAAACTTAATGCAATAAACTTTAGCTGTAGAGTGCGCGCGAGCGAGTCATCTTATTGATGACGAATAGTAGAATTTCGAATCTTATCTTATCCAATATAATCTAATCAGCGCATTCGTTTTCGCACTGCATTACTGCCTGACTAATTGGCCTTACAATTGCTTGAAAGAAGTACAAAATCGATCGAGCTCGCATGAACATTAAATTGAATTAATTACAACACGAATTAAAGTGAGTTTATGGAACATAAAGAATTCAAATATCCATTCAATCAACGCATCCATCCATTCCGCGCACAGAAATCGAGCAAACAAAAATGAGCGAAAATGTGAAGAATAAAATCGACGACATCGACAACATCGTCGCGGACATGAGCAACCTCTGCATGAACGAACTCTACTCGGACGTGGTGTTTTTCGTGGAGGATCAGCGGCTGCCTGGCCACCGCAACATTCTGGCGGCGCGCAGTGAGTACTTTCGCGCCATGCTCTATGCCGTCATGGTCGAGTATAAGGAACAGGAAGTTTGGCTGGATGTGCCGCTCAAAGCCTTCAAGCTAATCCTGAGCTATATGTAGGGCACGCTGCCCCTCTCCACATTGGACGTGGATACCATTATCGATGTGCTCGCTGTGGCCCATCTGTACGTATTGCTGACACTCGTCTCGGCCATAACCAAACATATAGCCAATATTCTGGCCGTGCCAAATGTGTGCATCATACTGGAAGCAGCACGCCGATGCAGTCTGGACGAGCTGACCCACGACTGCTACAACTTCATGGACCGCAATGTAGCCGAACTACTAGAACATCGCACCTTCACACTTCTGTCAAAGGAATCACTTGAGGAATTTCTACGGTACCACAAATCCCTTGTACCCGAAGTGGACATTTTTCGGTCTGTATGCAAATGGAAGGACAGCAATCCGAACGTCGACATGACGACGATAGTCTCGCAAATACGTTTACCCCTCATGAGTATCTACGATCTGTTGCATTCGGTGCGTGACTCTGGCATCGTTTCAGCGGAAGAAATACTCTCCGCCATGATTCAAATGATGCACGTGAAGAATCTGACCTACCGCAGCGTCCTATTACCGCGTGTGGATGTAGCATCTGAAGAGTATCTTGCGCGCTGGACTAATAGCAACAGTGAACTATTCATCCAGCTTAATAAGTATTACATAATCAACTTTATTGGTAACTTTCAGTGCGATATGGAACATGGAAAAAATGGTTTCGAAGTGAAAGTCTCTGACGACAATGTACAATGGGATTGGGTGGGAACTAGACATGGCAAAGACTTGGAGGATATCCACTTCAGGGATCGTTCCGTTCGATACATTCGCGTTGGGTCTATTAATTCATTTGATTTTGACCTATTTAAGCTGAGTGCTATGCACAAGAGTGACTGTTTGTCAGTGCTGCCCAGAAATGAGCGCCGACCTCCATTCTCACAGACGGCCCCTGCCAAGCCTAAAGAGTGATTATTATAATTTATTGAATAATTTAGACTTAAATAAACAATTGTAACCATTAGCAGATAGTTGCTGATCCTCTTCAATAAATAAATAATAAATAAACAATAAATAAAATAAATAAAACTGTGCATAAACAGGAAATATTACTGAATAAAATAGGTACTCATCGCACAGTCGATAGCTATACATTTATTTGATGCAGGATTTCCATCCAGTAAAAATACAACGACTGTTTCCAAGTGAATATAATGTCTCTTGCGACAAATAAAAAAGGGATTGCGTGGGCAAAAGATTTGAAAACAAAATTGCAAAATATATATACTTCACGGGTCGTACCGTTCGCTCCATTCGCTGTCAGAAATGTGATTTATACTCATTTAATCGGGAAGATTTTCAAACTGCAGGCTTTGTGTATACAAAAAATAGTAGATATATGTTCCAAGATCGTCAAATAAACGAAAATTCCATTGTATACCCAAATTAAAGTATATAATTTTTGGCACCTTGATTAACTCTTAACTTAAATCAAGTTTATTTCCAGCTACCAAAAAAGAGAGAAAGAGAGAGAGAGAAAGAAAGATAGAGAGAGATATATATGTATATATACATATATACCGGAAGTTGGCGTATCTTATCCACTCACCTAATCTCCAGGTTGCTGCCACTTTCATTTGCAGCGCATTGGAACGGCCATTGCCACCGCAAATTGACCGCAACATTTGACAATTTTCGGCATCGGCATCGGCATTTGGCAAATCCGCCACAAAAACCAGTAGACAGGACAGTAGAGAGGGGCCAGGCTACAGAGCTGAAAGAGAAGGGAAAGAAAGAGAGAGAGAGAGAGAGATTGAGAGCAAATCAAGAGAAATGTTATGTACTTTGTCTCTGTTACGGTTCCAAATCAAACAATGGGGCGCAGTTGGCAAGTAAGGACATTGGGTACCACCACCCAACCCCCCCGAAAATAGACATTCGCCAGACCCCCCGCCCACCGGTCACTGTCAGCGCTCCACTCCGGAAACGTTGGGTCCGACATCTTAGAGATAATTGCTTTGATAAGGCCTCCCCACCGCCATCGTTCTTCTCACCGCTGGGTAGTCCGTAAACATTTTTTATAAATGTCGCCAAATATTTACATGTCGCAGGGATTGTAAAGCTTCTCCATGGCTTGGGATTTTCTTTCTTTTTTTTTCTTTTCTTTTCCTTTTTTTTTTTTTCCCTCCAATCTCTCACTCTCACACTCTTGCTGTCTCTGTCTCTGTCTATTGCCCACTTTTTACAATGGCCCGCATTTGGCCCTGCGGCTTGACTTTACCGATTGTCTGTCCCACCGTCTGTCTTTTGGTCTGAACGTCTGGCCATGGCCTGGCCTCCTGGTCGTGGCTTCCTGGCCGGCGATACCCGGACGTTGCCGTTGCCATTGCCGCCGCGTTGCTGGAAACCGCATAAAAGTCATTGTCACAGCAAATGGATTAATTTTCGCGGCACATTGTCATATACACCTCTCTTTTGCACGCTCACACCATTCATCTATCTCTCTCTCACTCGCACCTCTCTCTCTCTCTGTGCTGGCCAATCGTTTGTCTCTTTTACGCCCGGTCTCTAGTAATTCTTTTTTTTTTTATAAATAAATTAAAAAGCCTGGTCAGTGGTTCAGTAGAGGATGGTAATGGTTATGGGGGGCGGGTATGATATGCTGGCTGGGTGGGTGTGGGTTTGGCATTGTGGCATTTACCGCAACAATAATTACGTTTTTGGGGTTTTGGGTTTTTGGATCCTGTGTTGCTGTGCTGCTCTGGATGCTGGCACGGAAGTGTATAATGTTGCTAAGTAGTTGCGGTTTATTTGTTCTGCTTGTTGTTGCTGGTTGACATTCTCCCTTTTTGTTTTTGTTTTTTTGCTACATTTTTCTCTCCACATTTGTCCCCCTCACTTTTCATCTCTTCTTGCACTTCTGCTTGTTGTTGTTGTTGTTTCGTGTTCCGTAATTATCATGAAAGGCAACAGGAGGTTTATTTCATGCCGTAAATGCCACATAATTAAGTTTTGTTTTGCTGTTTCCCAAAATAAGAATAGAATTGTATTTTTCTTATTTATGCAAAGTACTTTTTCCAAGAGGGGGAAACAAAAAAAAAAAACCAGCGAGAGATTAACTGCAAAATTTGTTAAGGGAATTGTAGAGTTTTTATTTTTGGCAGGGGAATATAATGTGAATTTTATTTAAATGGTTAACAATTTATTTAATTTTAATGGCCAGCCAATTCAATTAGTTACCCAAAGTTTGAAGTTTCCATCATTTCTGCTCTCTATTATTTCTGGCATAATTCCCCAATTTAAATGTAACGATTCGTAGATTTTTTGTAGAATTATTTGGCAGCTGTAGTTTATTTTGTTCCATTTTCTGCCTCTGGTCCTGGACTCGAAACAAATGGACTTATAGTTGGGGTTTGGTTCTCTTCTGTTTCTGTTTCTATTTCTGTTTCTTCAATTTTTCTTTCTCGCTTCACGGGCTCTTTGGGCAACGATAAGCGGGTAAAGCAGATGCGTTCGCAATCCGTTCGAAACCTGAAGCCACAATCACAAACGAACAATCGGTAACATTTGTTGCTCGATCGCGTATAAAACCATCTGTCATAGCCGCGTATGCATCCCGTCGTAACGGGTGTCTGATAACACTGGACTAATCGAATTTTGGGACATGGAATATAGATTTTACTGAAGATTATTCAACTTACCAATATCCTCATTAAATCTATAGCCAACCACAAACTGCAGCAAGCAGTAGAAGCAAAAGCTAAGGCAAAACACCCACCGATGATCTGTCCCAGTGAAATTCATCTTTGGTAGTCGCATCAAAAACTCTCAGATACACTTAGCTCCCCCTGGCTAATGCAATTAGCCAAGGCCAATTTCGGCCATGGAAAAACGATTTTCAAACATTTTTCCACTGCCCTCTTCTACTGCTGGCTGTTGTTTCGTTCCGTTTGCCAATCAGTCGAAGTGCCAAAAAAAAACTCGCAAAAACTGCAGGCCCGAGTACCAATACCATACGGTCCGAAGGGTGGAAAACAGCGCCGAAACCAAATAGAATTATATTTAAGTAAAAGCTAAAAAGCACGGCACAGACAGACACCACTGTTACGCTCTTTCTGCTTGGCTCTCCTGCTGTCTTTGTGTCACTGTCTGGCTCTGGCTCTGGCTCTGCCTTGCTCTTATGGCCGTGTTATCTGTTTCCCTGTGCCCACGCACGCATTTGTCTTGCTTCCCTGCATCACGCGGACAAGGACGAGGGCGAAAAATAAAAAATAAAAAACACTAAAACGAAACCCGCACAAAGCTAAGAAACTAAAAGGAGATGAAGCAGTGGCTGAGACTAATCCACAATTGGAGATGGCAGCGTGAGTTTAATTCCATGGAAGGTATGGGCAGGCTCTTGTAAAATCATTCAGCTTTTGTCTTTTACTGTTTTCGAGATTTATTATTATAAAAATTAATTATTTCATAGATTTTAAAATTATTTTGTTTATAATAAAGATATATTTTAGAATTTTTTTTAATTTGAATTGATACCAAAATATTGATTAACGCTCCCATCCCCAAGGAACTTCCTACTCATTCGCACTTCAGCCAAAAGTCTAAAAAAGATTTGCAGCTAGCAGCAGAGAACCAGCATAGAAACAAACCAAAGCAAAGAAGCAAACGAAAAAGGAGTGAAAAAGAGAAAAAAAAAAAAAATGAAATGTTTGCTGGTACGGTACTGTACTGTACTCCTTCTCGTACACCAGGAGTTTTTTGGCAGGAAAAGTAGGGCGCTCATGCGAGGAGCTGCAAATGTGTGCAGTGGGCACACGAGACGGCGATGGCTTTGGTTCTGGTTCGCCTTCATCTTTGCACATTTCGGTTTTTTGCTTATTTTAATTCTTGAATTTTTTTTAAATGTTTCCGCTGTGTTTGATACCCTTTAAGAAGGTATTCTGATTTTTCTAAGAAGATTCCCATTGAAAGAATTTTTGACAAAAAAAAAAGCTATGTCAAGAAAATAATAATAATATAATTTGAATATGTTCCACTCATTTATTTCCCTTTCGTTGCCCTAACCATACATTTCTGACAATAAAAACTTCTCTTCCAGGGTAATTTCGACTTCGCCACACGAAGTTAATCTTCACTTTTCGGCAATGACTGAAAATTTCTATGCATGTAATTTTGCGCGTTAAAAAAAAAGAAGGAAGATTGAAAATGGTGGGGTGTTTAGAGCAGAGCTGACAGGTGGCATGTGCATCATGTGTTTGTGTGTGTGTGTTTTTTTTTTGTGGCCCGAAGATGGCGTTTCTAAAATATGTATGTAGGGGTGTGGGTTGGCAGGTTTTAGTGAAGAATGCAATTGGATGAGCGATAAGCTAAATAAAGTAATTGAATTTTCATGGCATACAGCGCACAAACATACAGACAATCGTGGTTTTTATAGCATATTTTCACTGTGCTTGTTGCTGCAGTAGTTCACTGTAGTCGTAGTGTTACTTTTGGTACTCACTTTACTTTGGTACTCACTTGATACCGCCACCAAAAGGGGCAGTATAAGCAAGGATAATGAAGTTGAGTGCCAGCCAGCGCTACGGTAAACAATTTTCAGTTTATTAACTGTTCACTTTTCAGTTATTTCCGTTGCAAAGTCTTGCCGGCAAAGAAAAAACGAGCCGCTCGCGCATAACACATGTTCGCTGCGCTGATGTTGATGCGCTTTTGAGAGAGAGATTCCAGCAGGCAAGTGAGTGAGCGAGAGAGGGAGCAAGCAAAAAAGCACAAAGCTGTTGCTAGATAAGGTGACGCGCTCGCAGTGTGACACACACTCTCTCTCTCTCATTAAATACATGCGCATACGACTCACATATGCTCGTGTGTAAATGCACTAAAGTGAGTGCGCGCTGCTTGAAAAAAGCTTCTCCCTGAACCACAGACACTTTGGACAATGCAAAGCATTGCTCGGCTGAAGCGATTACAGTTACTTTTTCCGTGTGCGTTGCTCACGCTACAGTGGAACAGATTTGACTATGTGTGTGCAATCTTTACATATTCGTTTACGAAGAGCTGAAATGCCCACCCGCAAGTATTCCAATTCCACTGCACACCCCCTGTAGATTACAGCGTGTCTGTCCAGAACCACTAATCCAGTCAGTCAGTGGAATATAACTATATTTCCGTGGAATAAAGCCAGCAGCACACACACGCCAAGAGCAGCCACAAAAAAACAAAGTTATGGATGGTAGCCACATTCATTGCAATTTTCGTTTGGCCATTGCCAAGCATGGCTTAATAAAGTCCACACATCACTTACGTTCCACATTGCATATCGTGTTGCCAAAAGAGAATGCTGCGGGGGTAGGGTAGGCAGGGTGGCTCTAGTGGGTGTACGTATATTTATGTGATGGAGCGTGCTCGCCTGTGTGTGTGTGTGTGTGTGTGCTTACATACAGTTATGTTATGCGGATTTATTGGGCAACGCGGCGTAAATAAGTTGTTGTATTAACATTTTAAGCTCGCTCAACTGATTTAAGTGACACATAAACCTCTCTTTGCCCCGCTTTCACTTCAGATATCACACTCACTCTCTCTCTCGCTCTCTCTCCCTCTCTCGCTCTCTCCCTCTCTCTCTGTGTGTGTGTGGGCTATCTCTCTTTTTTTCCCCCCATGGTCCTCCATCAGCTTTGTGTTCTACTCTTGTTGTTCTTGTTGTTGTTTTTGTGGATAGCCTCCACTTTTAATTACGTAAACAAAAGCGCGACCAAGCTGCAGAGGGGACAAAAAGATCTCGCAAAAAAAAAAAAAACCATTGATGGTCTGATAAAAGTGATTGCTCATGGTCATTGACATTGCTGGTATATGCTGCAGAGGGTAGTATGGCTACGAGAGGATGTTTGCAACATGGGCCAGAAGGATGTGCGAACAGCAGCAGACTGGCAACTGCGTGCATCCTGTAAGGTGAGCGAAACATCCTTTAAATAATTTTTAAAAAATATACAAAATAAATCAAATCAAATCTATTCCATTATCTGATTTAGAAACGATTGCCCTGCGAGGGTATCTCTATAGCTTCGTCCCTTTGCAGCACTACCCCTTGGTGGCACCTTGTTGTTTTTCGCGTTTGTCCACCAAAACAGCAGCAAAAAGGCCATCCAAGTGGTTAAGCCATTGGGGCGCCTCCATCGAGTGGTTTAGGGTGGTTCGGCCGGGCGGCTGGGGTTATTCGGTGTATGGAGAGGTCCGTGACGTTGAAGCAGCCGCAGCGTTTGTGGTGCGCCACAAGCGGATATGCAGTACCAGGCGAAAACGTCAATGCCCAAAAACCCACTCAAACACAGCCACACACACACACACCCACACACACACACAGAGTCTTATTTGGGCTCATTCCTCGCACCCAACATTGTGGGGGGAGGGGTAGATCGAGGGCGCATTAAATTCTGTTAAATGTTTATAAATAGGCTGCGGTAACCGCTTAAATTTAGCATTGAAAAATATCTCTATTTGGATGCGGCGCAAAACCGCTGCAAAAATTTTTTGGCAGTGGCTAAGCTTTTCGTGGCTTTGGGGGTTCATTTATTCCGAATTTTTGTTTAATTTTCATTTTATTTATTTCTTTAGCTTTTGATTTAGTTTGAGCATTTTTTTTGGTGCAAAAGAAAATTTAAAGGTTATCAAAGTAGGACACGAAAAAACCGTCTAATATGTAAATAGAATATATGTATGTATGTATAAAAAAAAATATATGTATATACATATATATATATATATATATGTATTATATAGTTATATATTATATTATATTTATATATTTATACTTTAATATTATATTTATATATTATATATTATTATATATTATATTTTATTACGCTTATTATTCTTATTGAATATTGAAAGAAATCTTTATGGGGATTTTTATTCATTCCCTATTTATTATACATATTACTAAATGTTCTATATCTTTTACCATATAAGTATCTATAGCGTTCTTATGCACCATCAGTGTGAGAAATCCTCTTGCCTTAAGCCGTTCTACAACGGTTTCAATCAATTAAAACCCACCTTAATGACTCCAAGTCTGCTCGAAGCCTCTCGTACGGTCGCCAAGGCTATTCTTAGGGGTTTAACAGGAGCCTTAAAGCCACCCTCAATAAAGCCCCAATGGACTCTCAAATGCGTTTCCCACGTTCACAGATGGTTTCAAGCCATCTAAGTGGGGTTTAAGCTGCGCTTAAAATTATTCAATATGTGGCAACTAAGCTGAAAGTGGTTCCATATAAGCCAATGGGGGATTCATTAGTATTTGAAGCATACCTTTGTGGCATATCTGTAACGTTTCGCGACTTACAAACGCAACTTAGCATTTAAAAAGCTACCAAAAAATGTGCGCTTTAATTCAATTGAAATATAAAGTTCCACTCTCCAAACACTTTCCCCCATTTTATACTTACTCTTCCACAATTTTTGTTTCCGGCAACAATTTTAGCATTTTGCCCCGCTGCAACAAAGTTGGCCAATATTTGGCCTGGTTCTCTTTTTTCATTAATTTCTCAAATAGAACCTACAATTATTGACTGCAACGGTATGGCTTTGGTTCACTGGCCACGCCCCGTCACTTTAGCTACGGTCGTCGCCCACTCTTGAACGCCAACAAATTCCACTGCTCTGCAGCGACATGCCGGTACCGGGACCCGGGACCTGGGACCTGGGACGTGAACCTCTGGACCCATCCGAAACTTTGGCGAAATAAACATTTGCCAACAAAAACTAAACCAAACCAATGGCGACCACATTGAAACAAATAACGAAAGCAGCAACAGCAACAGCAGCCAACAACAACAACAACAACGGCAACACTGGTTATAGTATCTGCAACATCTGTTTGAACAAATAACCAAAACACGAAATTGGCGAAGCCTCCTCCTGGCCCCTCATTGCGGCAGCGTAACCATTCCTTCCTCCTTTCCATTCGTATTTTTGGAGGCCACGAAATCATCCGTCCTGCGTCCCATCCTGCTATTTTTGGAGTATATACCCCGTCCAGTATTTTTGGTGGCAGCCCCGAAACAGCGCCCGCGATTCCGCCTGTCTAGATGCTGGCAGTTGAATGGTGGAGCAGCTGTGCCGCCTAATCCCTAACCAAAGATAGTTGGACAGGCTGGGAATTACACTAGTCAGGCAGCAAAGTGTCTAAAATTATGGACACGATTTATTATAATCAAAGAAAAGGTATGCAAAAATAACAAATAATAAAGAGATTTTTTTTTTCAATTGTTCACAAATTGTAAATAACTTTAATTTTTGCAAATTTCTGTACTGTAATTTTGATATACAAATTGAAGCCAAAAAATAGAACTAATTTTTCTTTGTAGTGTTGTGGTATTTTCAATCAAAATTGCTAAAAGTTTGGGGCCCATTTCGTCCTTTTAGCCAAACTTGCACAAAAACTTAATTAGGCCTAAAAACTTAAAGATCGATTTTTTTTTTTTTTTTTTAAATTTTTTTTTAAAAATTTTAAAAAAAATTTTTTTTTTTTTCCCTTCGCAATCAAACTGCCCTTCGACCTGGCAAACATGCAAAATATATTAAAGAATATAGTAATCAAAGAAAAGGCATATAAAAATAACATATAACAGATTTATTTTTTTTTAAATTTTGAAATCAACTTGCAATCAAAATACCTTTATTAAGTATACGCCTATATATACCATTATAGAATATAATAATCAAAGAAAAAGGTATATAAAAAACATATAACAGATTTATTTTTTTTTTTTTTGAAGTCAGTTGTTCACAATTGTAATAAACCCACGCCTCACGAAGGTTTTTTTTTAATTTTGAAGTCAGTTGTTCACAAATTGTAAATAAATTTAATTTTTGCAAATTTCTGTACTGTAATTTTGATATACAAATTGTAGCCAAAATCTAGAATTAATTTTTCTTTGTAGTGTAGTGTTATTTTCAATCAAAATTGCTAAAAGTTTGGGGCCCATTTCGTTGACCTTTTAGCCAAACTTGCAATCAAAATACTTATATTAAGTATACGCCAATATAACATATATATATATATATATTTTTATATATAGGTATATACTCCTATCCTTTCTACCTTTTTAATATTCTTAAAGCGAATTGCTCTGGTGGCTTGGTGATTGAGAAATCCCATTTAGCTTGTAATAACAAAATGTCACACAGAAATCAATTAAAATCATTTCCCGTTGAAAATTGTCCATTGGCTGAACCGAAACAGAAGCGACATCCTGCCCATGTGCACCTCACAAAACTTCCCCACAGCAGCTTCACCTCTTCACCGCGCAGGGAACCACCTCATTTGGCATCTGTTGCCACCGTTGTCATTTTGGTCGCAGCCCCCTCCTCCAGCCCCTGGATCAGCCCTCAACAATGTTGTTTTACATTTCCGGTAATAAATATACATTTGACAAAATAATAGAGAAAGCGAGACAGAGAGATCGAACGAGCGAGAGAGAGCGAGAGAGAGAGAGAGGGTGATTGGGTGTAGGAGAGACAGGTGCCATTTGGCCGTTTGCCTGCAAATAATTTTCGCGTTTGGAGCGTGGAGCGTGGGAAATTGGAATATTTTGGAAAATTGTTTGTCGCCAGGTGAGAAACTTTGCGGCATTTCATTTCCTATAATTAATTAATTAATTATTGCTTTGTGAGTTGTGTGTTGATAGCATTGAAAAATTCAAAAGAAAAATAAAAAAATAAATAATACAAAAATTCTATAGACCGAAATGTGTTGGAAATTCTAAACTTGATTAAAATGTGTGCTGTGGATATTACGGTACAGTAGTAGTACAGCACAGTTTTTGGGGTGTGTTAAACAGATTAACAAAAAAAATCGTATAAAAGAATCGCACATACTATGAGCACGAGCCAAAAGTAAAAGAACCAACCGATTGGCAGCCATCCTTCCTCTGTTGCAGCTTTAAATGCGTTTTCATTTGGGTGCATAAGGTGAATGGACAGCAAAAAATCAAAAACGTATAGTAGCCCGATCCAGAACGACAGCCCACCAAAGATATTGCGGCATATGCCTGGGGAGAATTTAACACACGAATTGTTTAGGGTAAGGCTCCTCCTCCTTCCATCAATGCTACATATGTATATACAAAAACCGAATGCTTACTCTTTTTTGTTTTTTTTTGAACTTGTGGCACACGAGTATCTTCTGAAGCTTGTAGCTGCTGCTGCTGCTGCTGCTTGCCTTCAGGATTTAATTTAAAAAATTCCTCGACATCAGCTGTTGGCATATTTGTAAAGAGATCTTCAGGCATTTGGTTGAATGTGTGGGACACTCTGATGATTTGCCAGCGTGGCAACCTGCGTGGCATCACTGTGGGGTTGGGTTTAGCAGCGAGCATCAGAGGGCGTGGCTTTTTGTTAGCTGAGAGCGCTGTACTTACGTCTCGTGTAGCAGCTGACACATCTCGCCTTCCCAATCATTACTGGGATCGGCCATATTTAAATTTGTACTTGTTCAGCTAAATTATCACAATTAAATAAATATAATGTAACACCTTTTGTAGGCTCTATTGTAACTCATTCGATTGGAATCAAAGTGCAAGTATTGTAGGGCATACTTTGACTACGATTTTGTACCCCAAAAAGGTTGTCGTATAATACTCCAAAGTTCTCCAGCACAAGTGGGCGAATGTTAACGATTAAAAATGCTAAGAATTCGCAAAAATTCTCATAACAATTTATGCTCCTTGGGCTGCAATATCGACAACAATTTGTTGCCATTAAAAACAGTTTAATAAACAATTAAGACGCATATGCTGCTGTTTGGTCTGAGAGACAAAATGCTTCAGCATGCTCGTTGGAAGAGGACAAAAGTCTGAGCCGAAGAGGGCCTGTAGCCAACAAATTATTATAGTTCGCCACATATCCTGTTGACATTTAACTGACAGCGCGGTTGAACAAAGGCGACAATGGGTCTGGCAACGGGAAAGGCAAACATGCACAGGGGGTGGTGAAAGGTGGAAAGGTGGAGGCATAAATACACGGGCAGCACCTGAAGCCTGCCCTGAGTCGGAGTCGGGAGGTCCGGGAGTCATAACCATGACCAAAGTCACACGACAACATGGGACACCAACACACACACACACACACACATGCACACACACAAACACGAAACACACATACACGGACACACACGGCTAGCTCCACATCCGGTGACATCCGGTACTTCCTGCTCTATCCCTTGCTCATACTCTCTCTCTCTGTCTCTCTCTCTCTCTCTCTGTCTCTCTCTCTCTCTCTTTATGTGTGATGCAAGTCGGCAGCATTCCTGTGGCCTTGTCACACGTACAACGTGTGCCACTAACAACTGCCCCTTAGCAGCAGCAGCAAGCAAGCAAGCAAGCAGAAAGCAGCGACAGCAACAATCTCACATCATACTTTATGCGCTATGGCAACACTATCACGCCATACACAGACGAACACAGAGAACAGAAAGAGAGGGAGAGCGAGAAATAGCTAGTGAGAGAGAGAGAGAGAGAGAGAGAGTGTTACAAAACTAGCCAGAGATAGAGATGGGTAGATAACTCCAAGTACTGCGATGCTCTTCCCCCAGGGATACCCCCCTAAATGGCTTAGAGATTTGTTGGTTAACATATAAAAAAAAAAAATATCACAGAATTACTGGGCGAAAGATCTTGTAGGGGTAGCCACTTTGCCATCGAAGTGTCTTTGGAAGCAATGCAACAGCCATGAACCAATAAAACTTCACCCAAAGCCATGAAATATCTATGCAGGCGCAAAGCTAGGATAGCCAGCATATAACTATAGCTCTGCCAAAACTTTTTTCAGGGTTTATTATGTAGGATTCTTGTAACAATTATCACAATTATTGTACAATTACTTAACGTAGTGTGACTGTTGATTAAGGGTCAAGGACAGTTTCTATTTACAATTTACTATTTAAAGTTAAATGCTAAAACTAAATATGGGTACAATAAACTCAAAAATTATGGCTACAACATCACAGTTTTACTTGGGATAAAGTGATCTGCCTGTCAGAGAGGTCAGAGAAGTATTTGCCACTGGATCATATTTTAGTTACTTCTTTTTTAACTCTCATTTATCTCCAATATTTCCTAAAAATATCCCAAAATTTCCCTAGAAAGATCACTGCAAGAACTACGTTGCTCTACCCTTTTGGAGACTCTCTTAAATGGTTCTGAAGTTTCTGTTAGCTATCCCCCTGTTCCTTGTGAAAGAGTATAGAGCACATTTTTCTTTTTGAATGCTGATGAAAATTTACAGCTTACTTCTTATGGCTATGGCAATGGGCGCAGGCGGAGGCGGAGGCTGTTTCTCTCTGCTGCTGCTGCTGCTGCTTGTGCTGCCTGTGCCTTTGCCTTTGCCTGTCATGCATCCGTTTGCAGGATGCACGAAATAATTCTGTTTGTGTGGCGCCGCTCACTCCACTGCTCCCCTACTCCGCTGTGTGTGTTGTGTCCTTTCATCAGGCGCGTGTGTAGTTTAGGGCCCTGCCCCGTCCTGTTGGACTGACTGACTGACTTTGCACTTCCTTTTTGGTGCACCCCTGGTCTGGCAATGCAGCCCTGGTGCACAGCGCCCACTCACGCTTGATGTAGTTGGTGGTTTACTACTAATTTGCAACCACATCGTTTGTTTTGTGTGCTGCTGCCCCCACCCACTCCCTCACTCTCTCTCGCCCTCTGCGAGTGTCCTTTGTGTGTGACAAGCTACCAACTCTTCTTCCTACTGCCGGGCTGCTCTGCGACACGTCTGGTGCATTAATTCTTGCATCACAATAGAGCGACGGCTGTGGGTGTGGGTGCTGGGGCTGGGGCTGGGGCTCTCTCTGCTTCGCACACTTTCTGTCAGTTTGCATTGTTATAAATGGTCCTGCTGCTGCTGCTGCTGGTGCTGCTGCTTGTTCCCTTTTTGGAATTTTTAGCGCCCCTTATCAGCTGACGCTTGCATACTTTGTGGCATCTTCAGAAAAGTTGTACAGTTACTCCCTCTCACTCACAGTTTTCCATGTAATTATGGCATACATTGTACAGCAGATTGCAAACTTTGATATTTAAAATTATTAGGGATCTTAGGGCGAGCACTTGCCATAGATACATCTGCTTCGATATGCTGCCACATAAATTGGCATTAAAATGTATTTAGCATGTTAACAAGGCAACCCTGGCAGTTACCAGGCTGCGTTCAGCAGGATTCAGGCTTGCAATAATAAAAGCAAAAATCGACAGAAGCCAGAGTTCATGCCAGAGGAAAAGCCAAGGCACAACAGCAACAAACATAAATATAATTGCATATATATATATCTATATATGTATATACAGTTGTATGGATACAAATATATGCATAAAGGACACGTTGTATGATATAGAAATTGCCTTTATAATCGGCTTACGTTTTCCTGATATGAGAGAGATGCCCAGGCACACAAACAAGCTTAAAATTGTGTTTTATATATGAAAAAAGCTTTGCATTTATTTTCCCCAGTATCATACACACACGCACACATTGTCACACACTGAAAATACATTGGTATATAAAGATTTAACTTATAAATAACATACATTTACATATCCCAGGCATAATGATAATTGGAACAGCTCTCAAGGCTTCTCCCTCACAGTCTGTTTAACATACAAAAAAAATATCTATAGAAATCATGGAATGGGGCATCATGATGACAGCAAATGACAACAACAAATTTGCATATGTATTTTGCTTATGGCAGAAGTATTTAAAATATAATGATTTTTGATTCGAGTTGCAGAGGAAGGGCAGAGTAAGGGCAGAGTAAGGGCAGAGTAAGTGCAGAGTAAGGGAAGAGTGCTCGCACTCTTGTAATTTTAACTTAAATTTTTGCACGTAGAATTCAGATTTAAAACCAATATAAAATATACTATGCCACGTTGTCTACTGTTAAAAAACCCTGAGGTAGCAGCTATGATTCTTACAAAAAGATCATCAGTGGAATCTAACAAATTAGAACTCTAAAAAATTCGAATTGTCCAGAAAATAAAATAAGCCAATTAAATGTATTACTGAGGTACAAAATTAAAATTAAATATTACAAAAACAAAAATAAAAAAATTTAAATTTATAATTTTATTTAAAAATTCAAAATATAAATTTAAAATTTAATTTAAGAATTTAAAATTTAATTTAAAAATTTAAAATTAAAATTTAAAAATTTAAAAATAATTTTAATTTAATTTAAAAAATTTAAAAATTTAATTTAAAAATTTTAAATTTAATCTTATTTAAACGTTTTAATTAAAATTTAAAAATTTCAATTTAAATATATAACTAAAAAAATAATTTAAAAATTAGAAATTTAATTTAAAAATTAGAAATTTAAATTAAAAAGTTTTTCAACGAATTTGTATTGTATCATTTTCTGTAAAAAAAAATGTCCAGAAATTAGAACTTTTTTAGATATAAGAATTACCCCATGAACAAAGTGGATCTATTTTTTTTTTTTTGAGATTCCTGTGTATTTGGTTGCCTCAGTCAGTTGGTAAAAATTAGCACAGACTTCACAGCAACTCTCCGAAATATATTTGTGCAAATTCTGAAAACCCATAAAATATATTTTTTTTTATCATTTCTAAGAAGAATAAACAATAAAAATGCCTGCCATGATTCCTTTCTGAATCAATTAACTGCTTCCCCTTGAATTAATCAGCTTGCAGCATTTTTGATTTATCCTGGCTTAAATAAAGTGCTTAGCTTTCTGCAAACAATTGAAACGTTAAATTTTGCGCCACCCTTCAACTGCATTGAAAAGTTAATCAGAATTAAATGCTTTAGTGCACTAAGTTTTGGCTTTATGCTACATGAATATAGAAACCCATAAATCTCATTCACACAATAGATACCGAGGGAGAGGTAGAGAGAGAGCAGAGAAACGAACTTTCCAGAGCACACTCCTCTCCCCCTCTGTGCATGCTGTCTCTTTCGCAGTCATCTTCCGCATCAACGCGCTAAAATAAAAGCCAGTTACACGCAGTAGTAAGTAGTTCTGCCCCTCCCCAACGAAAGTCCACTGCTTATGTCAAATATGCGCTGTCCCTTCCCCATCCACCCCACCACCCCACCCGTTCATTGAATGCTTTATTTACGCTTCACTTAATTGATTATCAAAAATTTATTGATAACAATTTTCTTCTATGCCATTTGTCGTTGTTGTTGGTGCTGCATTAGCGCAGCAATTTCCCCTCTTTTGCAGTTTTAGCTTGTAAATTAAAATTAATTTGATTTTGCACATTTGTGCGACTAATTGAATGTTGGTTTAATGTTCAAATTAAAACTGCAGCATGACAGTTTATTGGGATTAGAAAAAACCCAATAGTAGTTCAGATAAATCTAGCATTGGGAAATACTATTAGAAACAACAAGGAAACCTTTGCTTAGCTCGTCTCTACAGTTGATATTCCTCTCACTATTCAAAATACGTAAAACTACTGAGCAGCAAACGTAAAAGTACTAAACAAATAAATTCCCATAATCCCGATTCACGATGAATATATTTCGTTTGGTCGCTGATTTGGCACACGTTGTAGCCATTTTAATACTGTTGCATAAAATATGGAAATCTCGTTCGTGTGCGGGCATATCTGGCAAGTCGCAGATACTGTTTGCCATCGTCTACTTTATGCGCTATTTGGATATCCTAACCACATACGTGAGCCTCTATAATTCGATCATGAAATTGCTGTTCTTGATTGCTTCGGGAGCTACGCTGTATTTGATTTATCGCAAGTTTAAGGCCACATACGATCACAATCATGACTCGTTCCGCATTGGATATCTGCTGGTGCCCTGTGCCCTGCTTTCGCTTTTCTTCAATCACGAACTTGCCGTACTGGAGGTGCTGTGGACATTTTCAATTTACCTGGAATCGGTGGCCATTTTGCCGCAACTATTTATGGTGGCCAAAACGGGCGAAGCTGAATCCATAACGAGCCATTATCTATTTGCTCTGGGCTCGTATCGTGCGCTGTATGTATGCAATTGGATTTATCGCTTCATCGCCGAGTCGCATTTCGATTTAATTGCCATCATCTCTGGCATTGTTCAAACCATTCTATACTGCGATTTTTTCTATCTGTACATCACCAAAGTACTGCAGAGCAGACAACTAAAACTGCCCACATAATTGAAAGACTTTTACAATGATTACAAAACACACAATAAACAAACAAACAAAACAATTCAAGGAAGTTGGGGAGCGCAGGAAAGGCTGAGGCTGTGGCATGGACTGGGCAATTTTTCGGATTTTATTGATATATAAAAAATCATTAAATTCATTGTAATGAAATTAATAAATGCATAATGCAAATATCTATCCAAAAATCACTTGTATTGCATTTACCATAATTTATGGCTGCTCCTTTCACGCACATATACCCCTGTTGCAGCAGGGTATAATTATAGCTGAATCGTCTCCTGTAAGCTTACGATTCTTGAGCCAGAAAGTTGCAGGTTTCTTTTGTAATTGAATGCTTTAACTTAATCCCTCTATACCCAGACAGGCACAACCCTTAAACCAGCTCCCTTAGCACCACCCCCACCCTTATCCAACTATTCAAACTAATTAAACAATTTCTGTTGTTTCGTTGTCATTTTCCATGGCTTTGTTTTCCATCACATTGAAAAGTCATTTTGCCTTTGGTTTTGTCTTCGTTTTTGCCTTCATTTTACCTTCATTTTTGTGTTTGTTTTGTGTGTGTGTTTTTTTTTTAGTGACTCAACTTACAACAAATCAACACATTAAGTTGCAAGCAGTTGAGTCATAGTGGGCAGCCACACAAGCCAAAAAAAACAGTTTGACGAACTGAATGGAACCTAATGGGCGCTACAAAAAATTCGAGTTGTTGGGTTCTTCTTTTTAATGATTTTTGACGGACATTAGCTATAGTTGTTCGCTCCCAGAGAGAGATCTTTCCAGTCACCAGTCCAGTATAAGTAAAAAATAAATTATAAATAAATAATAAATAAACAATAAATATATTTTTTGTTTCCCACTCATACGATCCATGGCTGTGTCTTTTAAGCGCTGCTTTCAGCTGCCTTTTTCATTAGGTTTTTATCAGCTTTATCACTCTTTTCTTCGGTCTCTCTTTCTTCTCTCTCTCTCTCTCTCTCTCTGTGTCGAGTAGGTGCTCTCAACGAGTCGAATCAGCTGGCTTAGTGCAATTTAATGCACAATTGCTTGGGTTTAACCTACGACCCCCCAAAGTACAGTGCCAGACGCCCCACCCACAGCTACGCCGCCCCATCCACAGCTCCGCCGCCACCGCCCAGAGCATGTTTTGTCTTTAGTGGACGCTGCACAGAGGCGGCTGGTGGGGGTGTGTGTCGTCTGTTCTTGTTGCTCCTGTTGCCGATGTTGTTGTCGTCTAGTCACGTCTGCTGATGACAAGCGTCTGTTGTGCAGCACAAGGCACACACACCCCCTCCGACTCACCACTACCACTACCCCTCCACAGTGATATTGAATGTCCTGTGACTCTTAGCCTGGGTCCTGGGGTCTGTCCAGGCGTTTGCGTTGCGCTGCATGGCGCATTTTCCAACGCCATTGTCCTGCTGTAGGTACTATTTTTGTGTCGCACAATTTACTGCACTTCCTGGGCAGCACAGCACACAACAACAACAAAAACAAAAGTAAAGGGAAAAGAATATCTACCATAGAGCAACGGTACGAATGTACACCAGAGACAGCAGAGGATCTGCAGCTGGAGCTGCAGCCGACGACAAACTTGAATGGGGTGGGGCGAGGGCGAGGGGCAGCGAGCGCGCATTGTCTCGATAATTACCCATGTCCCCTGGTGTGGCAGGCAGCCATGTGACTGCCGACTGCCGACTGGCGACTGCCAACTGGGTGACCCTTGGCCCCGTTTTCTATCTATCAACAACTTTTTCCCCGAAACAAAAGTTGGGCACGTTTCGCCACAGACAACAAAAGAGAGACAGAGAGAGTGAGAGAGAGAAATGGGGAACCCTTGCTCGATACTCGGGCAATTGGCAAACGTATTGCCCGTGCAAGGACATGTCAAAAAATATATACGAGTACGAGTGCGAGTACAGTCACTCCCTTGCTCGATGGGCTACTTCAAACAGCTTAAAGAGTGATGTCCTCTGCGCTGTGATTTGAAATGTCGAGACATTCGAGGGCCTGCGACACACAGCTTGAGTGTCCAACTCGAATCAGAAATGTGAAACAATTTTCAAAGGGGGAAAACTTCAAAATGTATGCTGAACATCGATCATAATTATAGCCAGAATGAAAAAATTTTTTTTTTTTTTTTTCCCCCCCCCCCCCCCCCCCGCCCCACCCCCTTTTTTTTCTTTCCCCCCCCCCCCCCCCCCCCCCCCGCGGGCCCCCCCCCGGCCCCCCGAGGGGGGGGAGAAAGGGAAAAAACCCAATTTATTTTTTATAATAAATATTTTTTTTTTTTTATTTTTTTTTTTTATATAAAAAAAAAAAAAAAAAAAATTTTTTTTTTTTTTTTTTTTTTTTTTTTTTTTAAAAAAAAAAAAAAATAATAAAAAAATTTTATTTTGTCTTTGAGGGGCCCTTTTTTTTTTTAAGGTTTATTGTAAACAATTATCACAGATAATTAAGTACAATTACTTTACGTACTGTTACTGTTGATTACAAATTTTTTTAAGGGTCAGGGACAATTTCTATTTACTATTTATTGTTTTAAGTTAAGTGCGGGTCCAACGGACAAAAGATGAAAACTCTGCATAAAAGCTGAAAATTTATAATATTCTAATAATCTATTATCTATATAATATAATCTATATATTATAATATTATAAATTGTAATATGAATAATTTGGTAGTTAAATGAATTTAAAAAATGTTCTGATTTTCTGTTTTACTGTTTCCTTTTAAAATTAAATTAAATTAAATTGTTATCGGAGAAATACCAGCTCCAAAAGACTACTCTTAAATATATGTAGTACATATTATTAACCTGTCATAAGACAGACGTCTTCTCGCTAATTAAATCTTAAACTCGTTTTTATATTTCGTTATAATTTTTGCCCTATTTACCCTACTAGCTATTTAAATAACAATAATATTTCTGACTATTTTTATTATTATTTAATATTTTAAAAGGACTAATAGAAATGTACAAAATTAGATTCATATAAAAAAAAATATTTCCATATTTACCGCTTATTTTTAGGGGTATAACTGACTAACAAATGAGCACAAAAAACCCTTACACGAAAATATTCTGATAAAATGATTAAGGAAAAATTCATGCATTTCCTGCTACAGTCCGAAAAAAAAGTACACTCCCTTTCAGCTATCGTTGGCCCCCAGGCCAAGCAAAGAAAATATTTGTATAGCTCCTAAGCTGACAATTTTAACTACTTTCCAAAGGCACAAATTAAAAACGACACATAAAACTCTCAGCTTGTTATTGTACATTTTGAAGGAGAAAAACTCCAACCGAAAACTCATTTCAAATATCCAAATGTGTACCACTTTAAAGTCAAGGACAAATGGCAACAAAATAAATATTGAATATGAAACAGAAACCAACCGAATCCTCTACAGAGAACATCACACAGGCGGCGGCGGCGGCGAGGACCAACCACAAGACACTGACACGGAATAGCCATAAACATAAATCTCTGGCATTTAGCTGGGGCAAAAATAAAATCAGGCAACAGCAGCAGCAGCAGCACACAGAACCCACTAACCGTCTAAACGTTGGATTAGGTTAGGGATGAAACGGAAATGGGAAACAACTGGGAAACTGGGAGCTGCTGGAAATGGTGCTGCTGCTGTTGCTGGTGCTTCTGCTGGTGCTGTTGCTGTTGCTGATGATGAAACACGGCAACGAAATTCAATTGTTTTTGCAGCACAACAATTTAATTTGACACGTACTTTTAATGTGCAGAGTTCTCTCTCTGGGATATGGGGTGCCGTGCCCCAGGAAGACACACGCACACCACACACAGTGTGTGTGTGTGTGTGTGTGTAGTCCACAAATTGAATTTAGATACAATTTCCTGTGACTGCGTGACTCTGCCGCGCCTAAGCCCCCCACACAGTTTCGGTGACTGCTGTGACCCACCCCCCAGTTGGTAGCAGATTCGTGTCTGTGCTGCCCATTTTCCATTGGCAATTAAACCAGCAAAATACAAAAAAAAAAGACGAGTATGGTTATGGGTGCGACAACAATAAATAAGCAATTTATATGCACAAATGCATTTATCGAGCGTGAAAAGATGCCATGAATGAAAGGCTGTAGAACACACTGGGGAGTAGAATTAATATATATATATATATATATATTGGGAGACCTTTAAAGAGCATAAAAATTGCACAAACGATTGCCAGCTGACGCTATTAATTATATTCACCACTTCGATCAGAAAAAGTCTACAACAAAAAGTGCATTAAGTACGTCACATTTTTTGTAATAAATGTTATAAAATTGGAGAAATTTAAAGGCGAACGGCGGATGCTCTTTAGGGCATGAGAGAGACTATTGTGGAATTATTGAAAGTGTTTAAAGACAGCAAAACAGCTGTTGTGCCTACATCCGAATGCCCTATTGACAGGTCACAGGTAAATGTTAATTGAAAATGTAATTTAGTTTCGCCTGAAACGAGGCTTTTCCCTAACTGCAGTTAGGGCAACCAAAGTGTCTGCTCTATCATTCAACTGTTTCGAACTGACTTTTTTTGTATATGCATTTGCATTTTTCTTTGTCTTTCTTTCAGTTTTTTGCTCCTGGCCCCAGGCGCGCAACAATTCAATATTTGCCTAAAAAATTTACGAGGCGTGACAGGATGGCGTGGACTCTGCTGTGGACACGGCGTTTTTTTTTTTTTTTCTGTTGTTGCTGCATGCAAATGCGACGCATGGCGTTATTAATTCTCTCGCTGAGTAGCCGTTGAGTCGCCAGAGTCGCCCCCCTCAGTGCCTAGGCCCCAAGGCCTTGCCACATGCAATCGTATATAAAAAAAAAAAAAGGAAAACAACTGCATGTCCGGCTGCTTCACAAATTGCCCTCAAAATGGGTGGTGATGTGGTGCTGCGGGGGAATGTTGTATAAAAATAAAGAAAGAAATGTTTATGAAAATATTTTGTTACATTTCCGCGTGTGGGAAGTGGGTGAGTATTTTTGTTGCCAGCAAGCAGTAACAGTAACGTGAGAAATGGGCAATTGCGGAATGCGCTTCACTTAATAATTACTATTGTTATTGGTTGTTGGAAAGCAAAAACAAAAAAAATCGAATACTAATTGAAAATCATTTGTTGGAATTTCTGGATGGTATGGGCAGCGAGTTC